CCATCCCAGCCGAACTTATAACAAGTTAAGTGACTTTGAAAGTGATAATAAAGATTTGTACTAAAATAATTTTTTTTTCAGTCTTGATCAAATCTGATCAGTTTATATTTGACATGGTTTATCAGTTTTAGTATACTCGAACAACACTCGAGCTTAGGCATAACAATAAATCGAGTGCCCAGAGTTAGGCATAAGGAAGTCTTTAAGTGACCGGACCACTGTAGTATATTTCAAGCTAAGGTCTTTGCCATTACGAAAGTCGCGGAGCAGTCCTCAAATGCACCTGCAGTCAATTCCATAGCCATCATCTAGAAGGGCAGTCAAATCAAGGCAATAACTTTGTATTACATGTCGGCCAGAAGCTTCTTSGGAATCACGGCGGCAATGGAAAGTGTTGCCAGAAGTAAGAAACTTCACTTAAACTGCGTACCAGATCAGAAAGRCATCGATGGCAATGAAATAGTTGACGAGGTTGCAATAAATGGAGTATTGGCACTAAAAAGAAGAGACTGTAGGAACATTATCGGGATACTAACTGATCACTGTCTGGGCACGCCGATCGAGAAGACTGCAAGAAATGTCTAAACGCATGGCACCGGGAAAATAATGGAGAATCTCTTGTGCACTTGTCCCGCATTGGCAAGACTACGCTGTAAGCATCTGGGGTCTCCACAGTAAGATAAACTGGAAGAGATATCGATGYGAGGCCACAGAAAATGATGAAATTCGCGTCAAGCACATACAYCTTAGAAGTTGACTACTTCTCATGAACCTAGTAACCGWATTCCATCTGGTATCGCAAAGGAMCAAAGCTGGTCTATGCGTGGCTMTTTRCTCTACCRGACTAACCTATAAGAAGGAGTATCTATCATCTTATGTTTTTCCTCCGAACGTGTTTGGGTAGTCTCTGCCAGATGAGAACAGCAGCAAGAAATTATATAATTAATATATTTGCTTATTTTGMATTTATATCTGGATGTTCGATTATTTGGATTTGTATCAGGAGGTTAAATTTTAGCTTCCAGAGGGTTAGATCCAACACCCAGCCAAGTGCTGTACAGTGTAATTGGTTCAAGTTYAGTKTAATTGAGAGATAACCGGCGGCCACACAATCTCTTTACTGACTCTGAGTACACAGATGTCTGTCTTTAGACATTGTTAAAATCTCGTATGACAGACATTG